CCCAAAGCACCCCAAAACTCACTCTCCCATCCACCTTTTAGTGCTGCCTTGTTTTTGGGTGGTGGTGCTGCATTTTGTTCTGCTAACAGGCAGTCATCCTTTCAGAGCTCGCCTATTCCTCCCCTTCATAGCTGCATGCAATCCAATGCATCCTTTCCTCTCCACTCCTCTCCATTCCTCTCCTCTGCTGTGGGGAAAGCGTGAAAGCCAGGAAAGCACATTGAGGGAGCCTGGAGTGTTTACAAGCCATAAGAGAGATGATATCAGCTGTGAAAGAATCTCTGTTCCAAGGCAGGGTTAATTCGCTGTTCATTTTAGCATTTGCAGCTAGACGAGATTAAAAGCAAGCAGGAATGCCTATTATATTTCTATTAAATGAATCTGTTGGGACCTAATGTTCTTGATTAGCTTGCGAAAATGAGTGCTCCACCATGAGTTTTTCTGTTTGCCTAAAGTAAACAGAGGATGAATTGTCATACATTTAAAAGAGATTCATGCATGGCTTTCAAAAAGGGAGGTTTAGATACATCGGTAGATCTCTCCCTGGCATTAGCCTTTCTTCTCATCTGTACTTAAGTAAAATGTATCATTTGGCTAAACGTGTTTATGGAGAGTCAGTACATGGGGTTTTACTTTGAAACAACATTTCTATTTTTCTCCTTGTAACCAGAGAAGAGGCGGGTGGCAGTGGAGGAGCAAGCTGTGTTTTATCTGCGTTAAATAAGCCCGTGCCTGCCCTCCCAGGATGCAAGGCCAAGCGCTCCCCGCGGTGCCCCAGGTGCAAGAGGCAGTGAGAGTGGAGCTGCTGAGCTGATACCCCAGTGCTGAAGCTGGCCTCCAGGTTCAGTCAGCTGGCCGGAGAAGCCCACAGCAGGAAGCAGCAGCCCAGGGCTGGTGGCTGGTCCCTGCTCCCCACACCGGCCAGAGCGCAGAGCATCTTGGCCACACCTGCACTACTGGGCCTGCACTCTCCTACCCCACAAGTGCCCCCCTGTGCTGAGCCAGCCCTTGGTTTGGTAAAGACAATGCTTTTTACAGCCACAGGTGTCACTTAGAAGGTTCAATTTGTTACCAGTATCATTCTCCCCAGCCAAAAGCAAGGTGACCCGTGAGATCTGGTCTTGGTTCCTCTTAAACCCGTTGTGGAGCTCCTGGTGGTTTCAGGGATAGCAGTGTTACATCCTAAGGAGAGGAAACTAGACAAACACAAAAAGCAGTTCCCTGGTGTACTCATAATTCCTGTGCCAAGTAAATGAAGCTCTTTCTTCAAGGCCATGCTTAATTACTGTGCTGCTAATCAGGCCTGACGAACCATCACAGCACACCAAGATGCTTCCAAAATCAGTAGGGCTTCTTGGTGCTGGAGAAACTTAGTAATAGAGACAACATGATATTAGTCATGTAATATTTTCATTGAAAATCTGCTTTATATTTAGTGCAAGCCATCAATGAACCAATTAACCCACTTTGTGCTATTAAAATCAAGCATTCTTTTAATGCCCAGTTGCTTATTCC